ATTCATTCATATGGTGTGTATTTATGTTATCCTACACTACTACACAATTATTATGCTACCATCAAGGACATGAATGAATTTATACAGGAAATGAACATTTGCCAGGAAGCTGTTTATGCAAAGAAAGAGCTTTATTAAAACACACACAACTATATACAACGCGTATCCAAACACATGCGTTTCTAAAAATTAAAAGTCCGTGAACGGTCCGTTTGCTTCCTCGGGGTTGGAGGTAACTGGCAGCATTCCCTCCGAGGCAGGTCCGATGTGCAGACGCCTACTGTGCGTGGCCCTGTACTTCGGCATCGCTTCTAACCGGGACTGCAGCTTAACACAGAGTTCAGTGAGATCCGGCCTACGAAATGGCGGCGACCGTACAATCCATCCAGAGACACCGCTGACGACGGTGGACTTCCAGAGTTCCACTTCCTCATCTGCTAGCACACTCTGCCTCGCTTTCAGCAGCTGAAAAAAAAACAATGAATCAGCGCACTGCGTATGGACACAACACATCTATTAATGCACCTGAAAAATAGTCACCAAATAAAGTCTTACCCTCTTTCTTCTGGCCCGACTCCGAGCAGATAGCCTCAGCACGCAGCGTGTTGGCTTGCAGCGTATATCTGAAGCTCCTGCGTACCGTCTGAAAATACGTCTTACAGGCAGCTGGAAAACAATTAAATGAGAGTGGTATAAATAAAAAATCAAACGCAAGTCACAGTAACAAGGAAGGAGAAAACATTAAAACAAGTCACTTACACACAATGTCGTCTTTATCATCATCGTGCAAATCTGGACTTGCTGATTATGGCTCCGAGCATAAAGGAGGTCTGTAAAAACAAAATGTAAAGCTATGATCGGTATCCATTACCTTTTACCGCAGAATGAAAGCATATTCTTTAAATCTTACCCTTGCTCCGGTTCATAGCGCCTGCAATTAGTCTCCGAGTTGTTAAGACGGCGTACTGCTTCCTGTAAATCACAAAAAATGCCCTTTAATAAAGCTTGTTCTTGCAAGGCTAGGCTAGATAGGCTAATAGCTAGGCTGCTATTAGCCGTAGCTCAGGCTAGGCCGCTTTTAGCTTAGCAGGCAGTAATCGAACATATATTTACCGCTAGCATCTCTTCTTTGAGTTCGTCTTGTTCGATGCAGAGTCGCCATCGCGTCCAAGAGGAATTTTACCCCGAAATCCCACATACTCCGTCTGCGCTCCGCTCCGCTCCGCCTGCACAAAGCAAAGCCTACAGCCGCCGCTGTGGCTCCGTCCCCTCCTCTCTGAGTTCCTTGGAGATCGTAGAGGGCATGCGCCAGATGAACCAGGGTTTCCGCGGATCATTAAAAATAATTACAATTCATAATTCTTTTTTTAATCAAGGCCTTAATTGGCACTAAAATTAATTAAATATGTTTATCGTTGCATTTATGATTCTTTAATAAAAATGCTTCTAAAAACAATTTCGTCAGATAAAGCCGTATGTTCGGAAAGGAAGCTCGAGGCGGAGAAAAAGCTAGAGAATATATGTACGTATATATGTGTGTGTGTGTGTGTGTGTGTGTTTACATACATACAGGAGTCATGGAACTCTGCTTACAGATCCTTCATATTTCATGTACACTAATAACTTGTGTACATGGTTCTTGATGATGGCATTAAAATCATTTCTAATAGCATTAAAATAGCATTAAATTAGAGTCACTCATTCCTGTATGAACCCTGTGAGCGCTTAATTTAATATGACATATTAAAAAAATCCCACCATCATCCAGCATATGTTCAGTTTCTGCCCAAATATATATATATATATATATATTTTTGTAGATTTTTGTAACAGAGATAAGGATAATTCAAAACTGCTTTTTTTTTTTTATGAACTTGTTCTCTACAACTTAGCATCTCTTTTCATTCCTGTAATAAGAAGTTTCTTTTAACTGGATTTGATTAAACTTTAAGTCCCTCGGTATAAAATAAATATTTTAATGGAGATGAAAAATCTGCTTCCTGGTTGGTGAATAACCAATAGTTTGGATCCAATCATTTAAATAAACGGTGTTAGTTTTTTTTTTTTTTTTTTTAGATATTTATAAGAATTGTGCTATAATTTCTAGTCACCAATCTGTTGCTGCTATATTTTAATTTGACGAACCGGAATTTGTCGATGTTCTTTTTCCTGTTTGGTGCAATTGCAATTGCGGATCTTGACCTGGCCGGACCTTATGACCACAGTGTACCAATCTTCTGATGGCTACTTCCAACAGGATAATGCGCCATGTTATAAAGTGAACCATCTCAGACTCATTTCTTGAAACTTTTCCACTTAAGTAATTGTGAATTGAGCATATTGACATACAATATTTAATTTTTTATCTTAAATGCACATTTTTTTTAAAATAATTACTGCTCTAAATGTATTGCTCTGTCAGCTAAAGATCTGTTTTGGTCTCTATACTTTAATTAAATAAATCAATTCAAGCTAAAATGTGAGAGGCTATACTAAGCCTGATCTCTTTGTATCAGAGATTTTCTTCCTCAGAAAGATGTCACTTGGGGTAAAACCCCCCCTGCAACCCTGGTTTGCATTTGTATAGCTCACAGCATGTTCATTTACATGTTAAAGCCTCCCCTAGAATTCCATGGGGGGGAGGCATGGGGGGAACACTGCCTAAGAAATTCCACGTCAATTTCTGACAATTTACGGGAGTTTTCGACGAAGCCTGCAAATTGCCGTAAACTGCCGCTAACCTGAAGTTCCACGACAATCTACAGTGCCGTATATTGACGAAAATCCCACTTTTCATGCAGTGCAACTGCCTCAGTCCCTCCGAATCCACCCAACCTTCCACTTATCCCAAGTTAAACCTGTCATCTCGAGTTCTCTGTGCCCGCCTTCCGACTCCCCACAACCCGCCCTGGAGGTCGATGGTCATCCCGCCTTCACCGTTCGACGCATCGTGGACTCCCGTCGACGAGGTCGCGGCTGGCAGTACCTCGTCGACTGGGAGGGCTACGGACCGGAGGATCGCCAGTGGGTTCCGGGCTCGTACATCCTCGACCCTGCCCTAATCGAGGACTACGAGCGTTCCTGCCCTTCGACCTCTTCCGGACCGCCAAGGGGCGGTCGTTGAGGGGGGGGGGTACTGTTGGGAGCTGGAGAAGTTCCACCTTTCTCCAGCAGAGTCCGCCGTGGATCCTTCTGAGTGAGCCTCCTGCACAGCTGCAGCCCATCAAGATCATCAGAGGATCCACTATATAAGCTGTCTTCAGACCTTGCCTCAACGCCGCAGTGTTGATCCAGTTGGTCAGCGCCTAAGCCTAGACTCTCAGTGTATCTTTGTGACTTTGAATCCAGCCTGGATTCTAACCGTTGTCTCTATCTTCCAGGAAACCAGTGTCTCCTCTGTGAAGCTCTGGAAGAGCTAACCTGCCGAGCCAACCCTCAGAGCCAAACCCGAAGAACCACAGTGAACTTCCATGCAGCTCAGGACTAAGAGCTGGAAAACCCAAAGTCAAGGTCTGCTCGTTACTAGACGTAAGACGCTGAAGCAGCAAGCGGACTCTGCTGATCAACTCCTCTCCAGATCCAACAGTGACCCCCCCAAAGCTAACCTCAAGAACCCTCAAGGTACAATCAGTAATAATCAAGAAAGCAAGCTCCAACGTACAACGCTAACTGAACTGTCTCTCACGCAGACTCCGGTGAACCAGTATCCAGGCCCGAACCAGAACCAGAATTATCAGTGTGCTTGTGTTCAAATAAACTTGTTGAACTTTTATTTCCTGTGTCCGTCAGTGGTGTTCTGCATAATTGGGTCACTCTTAGAGTACCCATCATGACAAAACCTGCCAGCAACCAAAGACCCCCAGAAGAGTTTGCTGTTGAAGATCGGCCTGTCTGACCTCAGCAGGCCTCAGTCTGCCGCCAGCCTCTGGACCCTCCTTGGAGTCATCCCCGCTGTTGCTCTGCTCATTTCCAGGTCAGCAATCCAGCCGTGACCAGCCCTGGACCTGATAACGCCCTGACCAGCTTTTCAATAAACCTTTGAACTTTTACCCTGCCTCTGGAGTGTTATCTACATATGGGCTAGAACCTTACACCCATCATGACAGTGAGTTAAGAAGATGGGCCGCCAACCAATGAGCAGAATTTGACTCTGTATATATATATATATATATATATATATATATATATATATATATATATATATATATATATATATATATATATATATATACATATATATGGCAGGGTCAGTCCCACATAAACAACAGGGAACAGGACATGATCTACAGGGGCACTGGCCCCCGTTGGCCCCCGTTGGCCCCTGTCTAGAACCGCCCATATTGGTTACTTATTTGTGTTGTTAATTTTGCTGTTTTGTAAACCACTTTTATTATCAATAAAGATAACAATCTGGTTGGTCCGTCAGTTTTTATTTAGTACACAGAGTTGTTGAAAAATTAGCTGAGTTTGGTCGGTCCGATTTTGTCCCACTTCAATAATAGACGTTGCAAACCCAGTTTTCAATGTCTTCACAGCAATCTGAAAACTAAATTTTAACCATAAATCATGTTGTATTTTAAACTGCCTTTAAACCATTTTTTTTCTCAGTGGGTTGCATTGTATCAAATTAAAGCATCAACTTCAATAACTCCAAGAAGAGTTTTTAAATAAATATTGTTGAAAGCAGTGTAATTAGGCTACAAAAACAAATAAATTGATGAATAAAGTAAAAAAAAAAAAGAAGCACTTGCTTAAATCTTAACCGCGCCCGAATCACATGATATCTGCTGGGAAACAGGTTTATTTCTTGCTATCATCCTTATACCACTCTGTCAAACATTTCAAAAGGCGTGTTCGTGAATTCCCAGTTTTTAAATCTGTATTATCATCCAAAGCAATAAATATTCATGCTACTGGGGTATAAAAACATGCATGAGGCCAAGGTACAGCATGAGGTGTTGTTTGTTTATAGTGAAAGCAATGAGGACTGCTGGAGCAACTTGACTAATCAACAACTGCTCTGCCTTGTGTGAAACAGAAAGTTAAGAACTGTCAGATGATACCAGAGCGTGGTGGTGTTTGCAGGTTTCAGTCAGCTGTAACAGAGTGGGAAAAAAGAAGTACAGACGGCTGAGAGATGGGAAAAATCTATCAAGTCATGCTTCACGGGCTAAGAGGGGAGAAGATTAATATTGACCTCTGCAACACCGAGGAGCAGATGCAGAAAATGACGGTTCGACAACTGAAAGAAAAGATCGCAGAGAAGCTCCCAGAGACAGCAGGTAAAGAAGTTTTGATCAAGCAAAACAACAACTTTACTGCTCATCTTAGTCTCGGATTCGACTTGAAGCAACGGAAAACGATTATATATACCGTACATATTTTTCTTTACTTTCTTGTCTCAGCACATTACGCTTATTACAATTTCATTTTATTTCCCTGTTCATTGCTTTCCTTATATTGTTGGACACTAGTTAAGGTGCTGTTGAGATAATTTTTATTGATAAAAGTGACATTTATATAACTTACAATAGATCCTGTAACATTTTGAGAAAAACTGTGAACGACAAAAAGAAAAAAAACAACAAATACACCAGTTACATAGCAATCAAAAGTGAAAGTAACATTGTTAGAGTCACAGCCTTCAACTAAATACAAACTACAGTTACAAAAACATAATCTTCTGAAATACTGAATATGTAACACTGAAAAATGTATTCACTGGTTTGGTTTGTGTGTTAATAACTTTTTCTCTCTTTGTTTCTTTGCCTGTTTGTTTACAGGACTGGAAAATGTGCGTCTAATCTTTACAGACAAGCAACTGGAAGGAGACTCATCCCTGCTGTCTGAGTATGGAATTCAGCACATGTCCGTCATCCAGCTGGTGCTCAGGGTCCCTGGAGGACAGACTGCATACTGAGACCCTCATCAAGATGCTTTCTTTAAGGGCTGCTGCTGCTGATGCCCGTGGGAGGGACTTATGACGATCTAAAATGTGTTTACAAAAAGATATGCTGTTGTTTGTTTGTGTGTTTGTTAGTTTTTTAATACACTTACACCTTACACTGTTATAAACACCAGCTGTTGTTAATGTTGATGGGTTTAATTTAAGTCTCGTTAGAGGCTCTGTTGTCTTTGAAAAACTTTAGTGTATTAAAAAAAAACAGGGGGCCTATTCAAGAACTCTGCTACTGGGGATACAACAAGACTGTCAGACTTTGTTAATAACCCTTTTCAAATCATAGGGGTAGTTTAGGGGAAATGATATAAGATATAAGATAAATAAAGATGAAAATGTGCATAACAAAGTGTTGATTCGTGATCTGTTTGATTATGAAGTCTTGTGCTTTAAGAATAATACTTTTCAGAGGACCAAACCATATTTATTTAAAGAACTTTTTCTATTTGTTACATGCAAAATATAAATATTTTTGTAATACCCTATATTATGTTTATATATGGGCTAAGAAAAATTGTGAAAAACATCTTTTTAAAGAGTGAAGCTCATTAATTATATACATTACGCACAAGTTGAACTATTGTTAGCCTTAATTGCAATTAATTTCCGTTTTTTTTTTTGAGAAATGCCTATAAAGTGGCAGGACAGTAACACTATCTCTCAAGCAAAGTAACACCTTGGTCACACAAACAGCGCTTAGCTTCTCTACAAATGTGAGCAGGTGTCAATTAAGTTTTTATTTTATTTTTTTAGGTGTCAATTAAGTCCTAGAAAATTAAAACAACCAGAAATCTTGCTGATATAAATTATAAGCGTTTCCAGGTAGACAGAGGCGTAGCCAGAACATTTTTATAAGGGTGGCCAGGCAATAACCAATGTACACTGAGGGGGGGCAAAAAGTAGATAGGCCGCCAGAAATTCAGGGTCAATCTACACTATTGCAACAGGAAAATTAACAAGCACAACATTCATATTCTCTAATTAAGACAAACTATTATTATAACAACCTTTGCTAACAAATAGACTAGTATATTCAAACATCTGTGCTTTCTAGATAAAATTTATAGTGTATACAATTCCTTTCAGGTGTGAGTTCTGGGACAAACATCTCTTCCTTTGTCATTACTTTTTGTCATTACTTTTATCAACAATCATTCTGCATAAAATTGATCTTTACAATTACTAATATCAACATAAATTGATTATTACGTTTGTACTAAAATAGTTATTTATCTATGATTTTACTGAAGACTCCTAGATGACTTTCAGAGACACATGATTAAAGTTGTTGTAAAGTTGTTGTTTTGCTTGACACAAAATCTAGTTCTGAAAAGAGCATTAATTATCATCTTTAATGTTGATTTGCATAAGTAATTGTTAACATAATAATTTTTTATGTTTTTCAAATACCACTTGAGAGTATTACTGCTGCCACCATCTGTATTAAAAGGGTACAAAATGGTAGCTGTGGCCACAGGGGTGGCCAGTGATTAGTGAAGGGTGGCCATGGCCACCCCTGCCCACCATCTAGCTCCGCCCCTGCTGGTAGATGACCTAATTTATTTCTCTATTAGAAAACAGTTATATCTGTTACATTTATGTTAAAAAGAAACAACATATTTGATTTCAATCAGTTTTGTTGCGTGTCAAGTCTACTTGAATTTCTTTCTATATAGTTAAGATTTGATTTTAAATAGTCTATGTAAAAAATATTTAATGGTCCCGTAATTTTTTCAAATAACAGTGAATAATATAATCAATCCTGTGATTATGAGACTATAACTGTAAAGTAAACCCTGTAATCTAAATTAAATACAGTTAGACTAGCCTATAAATTTAGGTCAGTGCTTTATCATTGCATTAAATGGCCGTTATTAGCTGTTATCAGTCCTATAGAAAGCCTTCAGATTGAGTCTCCTGGAAAGCACAGTAGGTTGTTATCATTGAATGAATCCTAACCCTGGAGTTATCCATTTTTACCCGCAGAATCAATTAATCTATTTAAATGTGCAATCTGAACATCATTTTAGTAGTTCACCTATTGTTAAAAAAAAGATCAGCACGTTGTTCATATTGAGAAACCCATACCAAAACAAAATCTCATATTCTTAACATAGTTGTTTTTAAACACCACATTAAATCTGTGTGACTTAAACATGCGGCTTTGACTCGTAGTAAAGCTTTAAAATGCTGTTGTTTTTTAAAAGAAGGTAGGCTGTAAATAAAGTAGATAAAAAGTATAAAGTAAGAAGAAAGAAAGAAAGAAAGAAAGAGAAACTTTAAGGTATTAGACGTGGCTGAAGTTGCTTTTATTAGTGATATACTACATATTGTCATCCATAAGAAACCTGCTAGGATGTAGAGAGGCGCAAATTGAAACCATTCTATAGGGCTGATAACCACTAATAACGACCATTTAATCAACACATCGGAACTGCTTCGATCTTTGTCGGGAATGTTGTTTACTTGGAAAGCTAGATTTTCGACGTTTCTTGAATGCAGCATCTCAGCTGATCAGCTTAACCAAAAAAAAAAAAAAAAGAGAGAGAGAGAGAACGAAAGAGAAAGCGTTTACTTACACTTTAGGAGAGACGCTGTGGAAGTTGGTCGTAACAGGTTGGTTAATGCTGTCTTATTTTGCTTTTCATAAAAATTTGTCTACAGTTTTCAAAAATAAAAAATTATATGACAATAATATTTTGCTTCTAGTAGAGTACATGGACTCGACTCCTGAGGGGACGAAATATGCCGAATAAAACAGAAGGTAATTTCTTTAACAGCCCATCAAATCATGGGAGTTTCTGGTAAAAGTTTGAGCTGTTGGTCTTTTAGGTCTGCAGGTGGATTATATTGCTTGATTGATTGTCTTTATTGATCTCACAGTGGAGAAATATACTCGTTACATCAGCTCAAATAGACAAAGTAGCCTACAAGAATGTGCCAAAGGAAGATAAGGGTGCATGGGATATATACAGTATATACAGTGCGTCGACATGACAGTTTGATTTTTTATAGTAGGATTATTATACAGGGTTATTGCACAGGGAGTTTTATATGGGTATTGATATAGATTAATATTTATATATTTTTTTGTTTAACTGGGTGTCAAATATAAAGAAACGGGTTATTGCCTTTCTTAAAGGGTTCGTTTTTAACGGAGCATTGAAAGGCAGTTCAATCTGAAAAAACTCACTTAAGAGAAAAGACAATTAGAAGAAATGTATTGATACAATTACTTTCTCTTTGGTGCTTAGACCTCGGCAGGAAACATAGCTCGGAATTTTGATAGATATGCATGAACAGGACTGGTTGAGTGGAGATAGAGGAAGTTGTTCAGTCTGTAGACTGTTGGTTAGTATGCTGAGCTTTATGGGGAGATCCAGTGGACTGTGTCAGCTGATATTAGAGCTTCGCTCAGGGACCTAGAAGTCCAGTTTGGATAACACAGGTTGAGAGAATCTGTCCATGATTAGCAAGCATGAAGCGACAGTGGAGAGGAAAAACTCTGTTGGGAAGTAACCTCTGGCAGAACCAGGCTCAACATGGCAGTCTTCTGCCGGACCGGTTGAAATGAGTCGTGGAATGTAGTATGAGTCCAGGAGGAATGACACTGTCATGAAAGGCGGACAGATGGACCCAATATTCAAGGAGAGACAGTCAGTAGGAAAGTTCAAAACGTTTATTAAATAACCAACAAAACTAAAGTGGAGCTGTGGCTCGCAGATACTGCAGGAGGGGGGGCACTCTGTGGGAGAAACACAGGTAAACACAGGTCAGCTGACAGAAGATGATTATCTGAGTTGGTCACTTACCTGGTTTCAGAGGCGTGCACAGACATTTTGGGGGGCAGGTGCTCAGGAGGGGGGTGAGGGCACTTTTTAGCGCACGTGTAACACTTAATTATAAAAAAAAAATAAACGCATGTTGAATGAAATTTGACTTTTATTTGTAACATTCTCTAAACGTGAGTTTTCAATGGAAAAAAGTCACATCACCAACAGAACAGACTAAAGCTCATCTTTCTTTTTCTTTCATCTGGCTCATCTCCCTGTTTTCCCTCACCCATCTGTTCTCCCTCATCCTGGTCTTTTTCTGTCTCTGTGTCTTCCCTGAACTCTTCCTCATCTCCTGTCCTGGTAGATGTTGATGGTATAGAGCAGGCATCCCCAACCTCGGTCCTCGAGGGCCGCTGTCCTGAAGGTTTTAGAGGTTTCCCTGCTTTAGCACAGCTGATTATAATGATCGCAGTAGACCAAAAGTCTGTTAATCAGCTTTCAATTAAAATCAGCTGTGCTGGAGCAAGGAAATCTCTAAAACCTGCAGGACAGCGGCCCTCGAGGACCGAGGTTGTAGATGCCTGGTATAGAGCTTCCCTGCTGTGACTGGCTACAATATATTAATAATAACCATCATGACAATAATAATGATAATAATGATAATAATAATAATAATAGCTTTAACAAATATGCCACATTAGTTTAAATAATGGGCTATTAGGGCAACATGACTGGAAGTCTTGTCACGTGGATATGATTTATGGTAGCCTACAAAATAATAGCTATTTTAAAACCTGCTGCACAAACCACTTAAAAATAAAATGTGAACAGCTTTTAAGATTTTTCAATATGATTAACCTTCCTTTCTTGGTATTGTGCTGCAATTACTAAATCAATATACAATTAAGACAATAAAGAGACCAAAATGTGTTAATTTATGTTGCCTAACAAAACCTATACAACATAAAACGTTTGTCTTAACACATAGATTTGTACAGAAGAGGATTAGGGCCACTGAAAAAAAAAAAAGTTAACTGATTTTTAAATTTTATTTCAGTTTAACATGGGAAAAAAGTCAGAATTCTGACTTTTTTATTGTCAGAATTCTGAGATTAAAGTCAGAATACTGAGCAAAAAGTCAGAATTCTCAGCAAAAAGTCAGAATTATGAGAAAAAAGTTAGAATTATGAGATTAAAGTCAGCATTCTGACTTTTTTCCCATACTAAACTGAAATAAAATTTAAAAATCAGTTAACTTATTTTTTTTTTCAGTGGCCCTAATCCTCTTCCGTATTTGCAATTGCAAACTCTACCAAAATTATTTGTAGCCTATGTGGTCGTCCTCACGTTATCTGTCATTGACTTGGGCTACAGTGTAAAACTTTCAGAATCAGGTTTATTGCCATTGTTAGTGAAGGAGTTCACAAACTAGGAATTTTTTGTGGTACAATCGTGCAACATGAAACATATAATATGGAATAGGTAAATAAAATTATAAAAATATCTAAAAACTGTGGGTATACGTCATGCAATAAAATAGACTAATGTATACACTTAAGAAAAAAAATATTGATACAAAATATAAAAAGTAAAATAGCATCTTACAAGGAGACAACTGGTTTATCTGGTGACCAGTCGGCAAAATGCGTGTTTGGTGCTGCTGAATGAGACATTTTAATGCACAACAAAATGATTCTGCTTGATCTGTATATTACCTGGCTAATGGGGCACGGGAGAAGCAGCCTGTCAGCGACCGTTCCTGCTATCTGAAAACTGCTATGATGCTGCGCATCTGGCATGCCCTGCGGGCGACCGAGCGAGTTCACGTGACAAAGGAAGAGAGAGAGGCTGGTCGTTTGTGCGCAAGTAGGTCGGTCATTTCGGGGCATTGTTTCAGTCGTTTTTAATGGCTCAGGTTTTCAAAAGATCATTTCAAAACCGACCTCAGTAAAATCTTAATAATATTAATAATAATTTAAAAAAAAACGAGTTCCAAAAGGGCATTTTCTTTGATAGAGGGCAAACTTCCTAGTGCTTTAGCACCACCTAATGTCTATGTGTGCACGCCCCTGCCTGGTTTAACAGTCCAGTCCAAGAATGTCCCAAGTGCTGCAGTTCCAGAGGTCTTGCAGGAAGCCCATCCTGGTCAGGGATTCAGAACAGACAGAACAGGATCCAGATCAGGCTGGAACAGACAGGTGGCAGGATCCAGTCTCCCAGACATCATAGAGCTCCCAGGTGGGTTCAGAGTCTGACTGGGACCAGGCAGTCACGCGGGAGCAGACAGGATCAGGTGCAGACAGGCAGGCTCAGTGGTAGAGGGTAGCAGCGACAGGATGTGGAACCAGAACTTGATGCAGGACCTTTAAACTGGTCTCCTCCTTGGAGCCAGGCTTACTGGATAAAAACTGAGCCTCCCCCCATAATGAGCCAAAAACCCAGAGGACTCCGCGGGTGAGGAACAGTGGACGATCAAGAGACGAGACAAACACTAAAACCCTCTTTACACTGGCTGCCAGAATCCAGAACTTGAACCTAGAAATGAACAGACAGGCTAACAGAAAGACAAATAATGATCTGGCACTGAATGCTCAGGCTGAACTGAATATAACCCAGAGGAAACAGGTGAGAGGAATAAATTATAATTGAGGCAGGGAGGGAAAACGGCAGGTAAAAGAGATTATCAATTAAGGGAGAGCAAACAGGCCAGATCATGACAGACACTGATGAAGCTTTAGCTACGATGGTGGAGGAGGGGCAGGAGGTGGGTAGAAACGGGGTCATGTGAATGAAGTCATAACGCAACCACTGCCTGCTCACTAGGTAGCAGATGATGCGGATCGGAGGCCTTTTAAGATGAACTTTGGATGCTGATTGGCTTTTGTGGAGGTGTGGTTCAAAGCTGATTGGCTGCATCGTAGGTGGATGAAGGCGAGCAATCAGATTCTTCAGTTGAACTTCCACCAAGCCTCCAATAGAGAGGAATTTGAAAATTAAATCTTCTGTGGCAGAGAGGTTATAGTGCAGGAGGCCCAGCTGCTAATGGGGTTTTAACTCATAGTGTACATGCAAGGCGTAAGTGGGCAAGAATAGCTGGAAAAGTGGGAGCTGAAGAGCAGCCAGGTATGTTGGTATACATTCAGTGATGTTTATTTCTTTGAAGGTGAAAAACAAGGCTTCAGTTGAAATTCCCTTGGTTTTATTTCATAGAACTAATAAGAGCATCAGCATGTAAGTGCAAGGTAAGAGGTGAGTATGATTGACAGGTAGTAGGAAATAGATCATGAAAAGGAGAGACACAAGTACAGACCTTTGAGGTACAACATAAAAAAGTTGAAATGTTTGGTAAATAGGACGGTGTGTCATTGTTAGTTATTTTGGCTTTATTCTTTTGGATCAGTAGTTAGTATTGTTAATTTAAAGCTAGTTAAGTCATTCACACATGCTATTTTCATCTCTTTGCAGTCACATACTACGGCTTGATCAATCAAGGATCTACATGCTACCTAAACAGTATCCTGCAGGTTCTGTTTATGACCAAGGAGTTCAGAGAGGCTGTGAACAGGTTTGCTGTTTCTTAAAGTTTATTAAATCAAACTTAATCAAACTAATCTATCAGCAAAATTAAAAATATAGAAATAAAAATTGTACCCTAGAGTTGCGTATATTTTGTATTTACCTTTATTCTTGGTATGCAGTTAATTTTCCACAAGGAATTTATATATATATTTTTTTAGTTTTAGCTTTGATTTTTAATATAAACATTCAAGGTGTTTGCATACAGCCAGCATGGGCATGAATGTCATTTTGATGTTGATACTTTGATAATCTGAGTAGAGACTCACTAATTCAGTATTTTCTGACCATGTACCTGATGCCTGTCCAATACTACCAGATCTGTGCATCTTTAAACCTCAGCTTGGTGATAAACACATCATGTTGTGGGGTTTTATTGTTAATCATACTTGTGATTTTCACAAACTATTCAGTTTTACTAAAAAGATTCTAACAAGAAGGGTTAAATATGAATTAAACATGAACCCTCAGTTAAGCAGGAAATTTTGAGGTTTCAAAAGCTTTGGTAAAAGTCCAACTGCTTATATGAAGCTGGACTTTTATTACTATTAGTGTGGGACTGTGTAAGCATTTGATATTAATGTGACATATATATCTTGATTAAACGAATACAATTCACTGTGAAGTCAAACTGTTGAAGTTATAAAACATCTATTTAAGAACATTATGAGCATTTAATGCCCAAACCAAAAATTCTTAAAATGAATTCAATATTGATGCTCATTGTGTCTGTTAACGTTTTACTGACACATTATATTGACAGCGATTGAAACGTAAGTTTTAGATCAGTTCTGAAGTAAGTAAAAGGTAGCCGATCTATTTACATTAGAGGGGTATACTTACAAATTATACCTACAGATAACTCTGAAATCCTTATGTTTAATGTAAAAAATCAAACAATATATGGCAAGCTTTTATCTTAGTAGATGTTTACTTAGATTTTTGTTTTCAATTTCGTAAAGGATAGTATTGCTTTTGCCATATCCTGATAGTATTTGCTAATGCATCCATCAACTTCGCAGCTTTGGAGGCTTTAGCTCTCAATATAATGAACTCAAATGTCTGTATTGTGCTCCAAGCGCTACTCGTCTCTAATCCCTCAAGCATTCACCATTTTTTCCACTGTTTCACACTTGATCTCAGACTTTTCATATTTTTTTTAACCCTTTACTGGGGTAAGATCCTAACTTGTTTGGCTCCATTACTGCCTTGTTTACTTATACAAGGTTTACTTATACGATACTGTGCACACAGTATCGTACCTGCAGTCTTATTTTGGTAAATATGGAAAATGCTTTCATTTACTTACAAATTGTATGAAAACTAGCCCAAAAAAATGATATATTAAGTAATGAGCAAACAGGGTGCCATAATTCAATAAGACAGTATTTGTATGCAAGTTAGGTAAGCTACTGGTGTAAGTCATTGTTTTTCACTAGGCCCCTTTAAACCCTAATAATGACATAGGGTTTACTTCTTTAACTCTAAATAACGTAAACAAGGTTTAGGTGTTGCTGTGTTTCACTCATGATGTTTTTTTATTCATATAGGTCTGTCGAAGAAAACTCTTCCCAGAAAATTGGTCATCATCTAAAAGATTTATTTGAAGATTTACAGATAAAGCAAACAAACACATCAAAAATAATAAAAGCCCTGGACATTCAGAATGGTAGGGTTTGTATAAGTACTCCCTTTACTAATACATATTTTAAATAGCTAAAGTCATTTTCTATACATGAAACCATACCTGTTAAAAAAAGCACAGTTATTGTTTATATACAATTTTCGAATGCAATCCTCCAATTATCATATTCTTTACTAATACACACAGATAATATATATTCTTACAAGGACCAAACATTGTTTTTTTTTTTTCTGTTATTGATAAAATGTAAAAATATTTCTTGCCTGCCATGCTTGTCTCCAGACACAGATTTGCAAGTTCATTATGAATTAGAATTAAGAAAAATAAAGGAAGAAGACATTAACATTCTCTTTCCCGTTGTTTTAGTGTATGAACAGCAGGATGCAGCAGAGTACTTCGAGAAGGTTTTAAGGGCTACCAGTTATCAAGCATCCAAGGTTAAAATTCATTTTTTCTCAAATATAATTTTTTTATATTAAAAGGAATAAAAATTTATAAAAGGTGTTTCTTTTAGATCTTCCAAGGAGAGCTTAATCACGTGACCATCTGTAAAGTATGTGACCAACCTACTGACAGCATTGGACCTTTCTGGCATCTTCCTCTGGAGCTTTTGGACTCCAAAGAAATCTACAGTGTGGTGAGAATCTAATTCTCTCTCAGCATGTTTCTGCTGCAGATAAACATGCTTTTCAAACCTTGGAGAAGTTTTGTACTCAACCACCGGGCAGCTAATGTGATCTACTCATTGTCTATTGTTATACAATGTTACATGAATCTGGTGAATCAATTAACCAACATGAGGTCACTCAGAGTTGTGATCAGGGATTATAATCTGCTATTGTTTTTAGAATCTGTGGATGCTGCAGTCAAACACAGAATCAAAGTCATTAGAGAGTGATAAAGTCATTGGTTAGTGTGAAATTGTCCTAGTAGGATAATCTTGATTAAAAATAATCCTACCTACCTAACCTGGCCATAGACCTGTTCAAGTCCTGGATGAGCCAAAGGTTAGAAGAACCAAAGGTATTTTCTGCAGATATAATTGTTCACTGTTCATTCTGTTCTGCATTGTGGATTAGCACAGTCACACATTGTTGAACTAACACACGATACACTGAAAAATGGAGGTTTAGAAGATGACCATGTCCTATGAAAGGTTTTCTTCCTGATCTGCTTCAGGAAACTCAGTATCTCCTAGTCCTTTTTTTCATTTGGACAGTGTTGTTTTGTAAGGACCACATCAGATCCTGAGAAAAGGTAGATCATTATAATCTAAAGTGAGCTGCCGTAGACACTTTTGTGTGGTGTGGTTCCCAAACTATTTGTGTCCAAGGTATACCAAAGGACATATGTAAATTTCAAGGCACACCTGTTGCTTAAAATAGTCCTTAAAGGAATAGTACACCCAAAACATGATTAGCCTTCATTTTCTACTCACCCCCATGCTGAACAACACTCTGGAGTACTTTTTTGATATCTCAAATGCATCTGGAGATCTGGGAGGCTTCTTGCTGTCTGCTGACATTCAAATAATGGAGGTCTATGGTGACCGAGACAGAAAGGTCCATAAAAGTCCACAAAAAACGTGTCAATATTCCTCCATACTGCTCGTCCAATGTATTCCAAGTGTCCTGAGTGGGTAGCATCCAGAATTTACTCGAAACGAAGTCATTTAGAATGTTTTTAGAGCATAAACAGTAGTGTATAGGATTTCCTGAAAGCGCGCACCTGCGCGTTCACGACGCTACGGAAGCCGGCAGACCAAACCAGCGCATTCAGCTCGGCAAAGAACTCATGCTCTTCCTCAACACTGAAGTCCTCAGACATTTTTCTTTCGTTGTTTCTTTCTTTGCACAGGTAAACAGCACATTTCTTCTTCTACGCTTGCATTATTGGCAGAGCAGACGCTGAATGCGCACTTTCATCTGGTTTGGTCTGCCAGCTTCCGTAGCGTCGTGAACGCGCATGTGCGCGCTTTCAGGAAATCCTATACACTACTGTTTATGCTCTAAAAACATTCTAAATGACTTCATTTCGAGTAAATTCTGGATGCTACCCACTCAGGACACTTGGAATACATTGGACGAGCAGTAAGGAGGAATATTGACACGTTTTTGTGGACTTTTATGGACCTTTCTTTCTCGGTCACCATAGACCTCCATTATTTGAATGTCAGCAGACAGCAAGAAGCCTCCCAGATCTCCAGATGCATTTGAGATATCAAAAAAGTACTCCAGAGTGTTGTTCAGCATGGGGGTGAGTAGAAAATGAAGGCTAATCATGTTTTGGGTGTACTATTCCTTTAACATGTGTTATCCGTGCAGACCGCAAGCTGAAACTAAAAATTAAAGAGCTCCAACTCTATCACTTTTGACTTTTTCATGCATCAGAATACCCAATCCTCTCCTGCCACGCTATCAACCAGCTTCTTCACCTACCTGTGGCATTCTCCACAGGTAGGTGTGTCAGATCCATTATCTGACACACGTGTCCCAATTGGGGTTGCAAGGGGTGCTGGTGCCTATCTCCAGCTGTCTACGGGCGAGAGGCAACCCTGGACAGGTCGCCAGTCCATCGCAGGGCAACACAGAGACAAACAGGACATACAACCACCCACACCTAAGGAGAATCTAGAGAAGCCAATAAACCTAAGTTAGGTTTTGGACTGTGGGAGGAAGCTGGAACCCACGCATGCTCAGGGAGAACAAGCAAACACCATGCTGAATCAAACACAGAACCTTCTTGCTGCAAGGCAGCAGTGCCACCCGCTGCGCCACTGAGCAGCCCCTCTCCACCCTTGTTTATATGAAAAACAAGACCAAGCTCTCTGTTGAGAAGGACTTGCAAGTGCCACCAAGGATAAAACATGTGTACGCACCAACAGGCACGTGTCCCACTAATTTGTTAGTTGGTGGAATATTTACAAAACCAAATGTAAGGCTGATTCTAAATGTAACAATTATAATTTGTGGTTTAGTTTCAGGACCATGAACATTGAAGCTTTCTCATTGGAAGCTCCATTCTGAATTTCTGTTTCGTTTGCCTCACCTGTCAGGTTTAAATGAGCGTGTTTATTCAGCCCAATTTGATTAAGTTTAGATTTTTCTTTGAAATGTGTTCTTAATAAATATATCATCAATAATATAGTTGTCTTTATCACATTTTTGTTTAGCATTATTAAATTATATGAACTTTAAAGATAAGTGATAACACATGATATAGGCTATTTTCAGTGATGGGACTAACGGCGTTGAAAGTAACGGCGTTACTAACGCCGTTGCCTTGTTTTAGTAACGAGTAATCTAACTAATTACTTTGACTGTAACTATAACGCAGTTACCATTGCAGACACCCCGTTACTGCGCGTTACTCAGGTCGCACAATGAACCTTTTTTCATGATAGGACTCGTGCGCAGCTGCGTGAAGCTGACACCCCACCCACGTCAAAAAAACTCTGCAAATAGACTGAATGGTTAGTGCAACGTTAGTGCAGATTTGTGCAGAAAAAATATTGTTTGTGTTACTTTTGTTTAAGAGATATTAAAGATTATTGTTTAGGTCATCCAGAGGTGCACGCCTTGTGTTGTGAGAGGGGAGGATGGCTGATGTATAGTGAGATTCCGTCTGTCAGTTGGGTAGGTGGGTGTTTCTGCTGGCGGGTGTTAACGTACAGCACACACAGAGAGATGGAGAGTGAGGATGAAACAGACAAAACAGCGTTTTCCACATGGAAATACCGGTGTTACGTTGAGCTGCGTTTCCCCATCACATAACGGTTTCCTCTGCATCTCCGCACAGCGCAGGCGGCACGAGTCACCGCGCAAGCGACAGGAAACGCGCATGCTCGCTAAAGTCGCCCTGTGCTCGCGCCACAGGAGAACTATGGAGAGCGTGAACGATCAAATGATAGCCTATATGAAGAAAGGGGGATGGATGGATGGATGGATGGATGGATGGATGGATGGATGGATGGATGGATGGATGGATGGATGGATGGATGGATGGATGGATGGATGGATGGATGGATGGATGGATGGAAAAGTAAGCACTTGTGTCTAGCTGCACTGATTGTGATTCTGTGTGCAAGGTTCGATTACTGTGGCCAGGATTCCTTTCACATTTATTCAATCCAGGTTAGTGGTTCTTGCCTAGAAACTCAGAAAAAGCAAAGCAGTGGTAAAAATAGACATTCTTGTAAGTGTTACTCTATTTTGCTTGTTGTTTTTGTGTCATGTGTATTCTATTAAAATGTATCTTATTGGGTCATTTGCTTTTATTTTGCATTAATTCATAAAATTTTTCTTTCACATTTTTCAGGAGAATGGCATCAAGAACTTTTTTGAGCCTACAGTATTTAACGGAGACAACCAAATGTACTGTGAGAACTGTGACATAAAAGTTGATGCCAGCAGAGTGAGTGAATAATATATATATATATATATATATATATATATATATATATATATATATATATATATATATATATATATATATATATATATATATATATACACTATATTGCCAAAAGTATTTGCTCACCCATCCAAATTATTGGAATCAGGTGTTCCAATCACTTCCATGGCCACAGGTGTATAAATTCAAGCACCTAGGCATGCAGACTGTTTTTACAAACATTTGTGAAAGAATGGGTCGCTCTCAGGAGCTCAGTGAATTCCAGCGTGGAACTGTGATAGGATGCCACCTGTGCAACAAATCCAGTCGTGAAATTTCCTCGCTCCTAAATATTCCACAGTCAACTGTCAGCTGTATTATAAGAAAATGGAAGTGTTTGGGAACGACAGCAACTCAGCCACGAAGAGGTAGGCCACGTAAACTGACGGAGCGGGGTCAGCGGATGCTGACGCGCATAGTGCGAAGAGGTCGCCAACTTTCTGCAGAGTCAATCACTACAGACCTCCAAACTTCATGTGGCCTTCAGATTAGCTCAAGAACAGTGCGCAGAGAGCTTCATGGAATGGGTTTCCATGGTCGAGCAGCTGCATCCAAGCCATACATCACCAAGTGCAATGCAAAGCGTCGGATGCGGTGGTGTAAAGCACGCCGCCACTGGACTCTAGAGCAGTGGAGACGCGTTCTCTGGAGTGACGAATCGCGCTTCTCCATCTGGCAATCTGATGGACGGGTCTGGGTTTGGCGGTTGCCAGGAGAACGGTACTTGTCTGACTGCATTGTGCCAAGTGTAAAGTTTGGTGGAGGGGGGATTATGGTGTGAGGTTGTTTTTCAGGAGCTGGGCTTGGCCCCTTAGTTCCAGTGAAAGGAACTCTGAATGCTTCAGCATACCAAGACATTTTGGACAATTCCATGCTCCCAACTTTGTGGGAACAGTTTGGAGCTGGCCCCTTCCTCTTCCAACATGACTGTGCACCAGTGCACAAAGCAAGGTCCATAAAGACATGGATGACAGAGTCTGGTGTGGATGAACTTGACTGGCCTGCACAGAGTCCTGACCTCAACCCGATAGAACACCTTTGGGATGAATTAGAGCGGAGACTGAGAGCCAGGCCTTCTCGTCCAACATCAGTGTGCGACCTCACAAATGCGCTTCTGGAAGAATGGTCAAAAATTCCCATAAACACACTCCTAAACCTTGTGGACAGCCTTCCCAGAAGAGTTGAAGCTGTTCTAGCTGCAAAGGGTGGACCGACGTCATATTGAACCCTATGGATTAGGAACGGGATGTCACTTAAGCTCATATGTGAGTCAAGGCAGGTGAGCAAATACTTTTGGCAATATAGTGTATATATAAACTCTAGTTTTATTTACATTTGATAAAGTAAAACATTTCTTTACAACCACAACTGCACCTTATCTTTTTCAGCAATACGTTATAAACCGTTACCCAGATGTTCTGCTTCTGCTGCTGAAGAGGTTTGACTTCAGCTACAAATACATGTCATATGTGAAAATCAACTGTAATGTTGATTTTCCCTATGAATTACACATACCGGAGGTATAATTTAGGCATTCTTTATTATGCATTAGTCACAATCTGTTTATTCAAGATTTCTAAACTGGTTATTTTTTTAATATGTTGATTAGAATCAGACATATGAGCTCTATTCTGTTGTGGATCATTCCGGTGACCTGAGAAGTGGACATTACTACGCAAAAATAAAATCCCAGGATGAAGGAAACACATGGTACTGCTTTGATGACACTTGGGTCTCACCGGTAAGAGACAGCAAGTTTCTCTGCACTGGAAATGCTCCAATCATTCTCCTTCTAGAGTTAGTTAAAAACAATTGAAATATGACCTTATTCCTTTTGTCCATATATCAGACTGAGCTAAAAAACTGTCCAGGAAAGGAGAACATTGCAAGGTAAGTATATATGGTTTTTCAAAGAAAAATTGTTAATCATAATATTGTTATTAAATGCATTCTTGCAATGCTGATTCAAACAGATAAATAAGCAATTATTCAGCATTCTGTGTGCAGCACTAATAAAGTTGTCACTGGGAATTTTAAAACATTACATTTCAAACCATCTTTATTTATAGACAAATTTATATTAGAGAGATGTGGTTTATCATTTCCCTTTGCTCTTTCTAGATCCTCCAGTGCGTATCTTCTATTTTACAGAAGGAAAGGTGAGAATGCACCAATTATTTTTCATATCATATATTATACTGCATGATCCTAACTAGGGGTGTAAATGACACCCGTTATGCCGATTCGATTCAGTATTGATCTTCTGACCCAATGATTCGATTATCTTCGATACTCAAGAATACACCACGATACGATCCGATTCATTGGTTCATTTTTTTTACCTTACAGGCTAGACAATATTTCAAATTTGAAATAAATCAATGAAAGCTGTAATATCGTTATGCATTTTATTTGAGAAACAACAGCAAATAACAGAAGTAGAATAGTTGTACTCCATAATGCCCCTGCATTATAGATTCTGAAAGGCTTTGCATAAAAAAGTACTGCACAAAATCAGTGCAATGAGTGCAATGCAATACCTCGGCTCCAGATGTCCCCGCCCCCTCCACAGGCGCTCCGTTGCATCCCTCCCTAATTGTAGCAGACAGCAAACAGTGCCGCAGACAGGACGCCGGCTTGTTTTGTTTGTATGACCGAAATTGCGGAAAACAACTCGTGAAGTTTGACCCCTTAGAAGAGCAAGGTGCGCGAGAACGCTGGGACCCTTTTTCCACCTGGATCTCCGCTCTTTTTGGCCCTCAATTCAATTCAGTTTATTCATATAGCGCCAAATTCACAACACCTGTCATCTCAAGGCACTTTACAGTTCAACCAGATCATACAGTCAAAGATCATACGTTGTCGGACTAAACTCGCCCCCACTTCCTCATCGCCTCGGCCGTATCTAGACCCAGAGTGTGTAGCAAAGACCACGCTTCAATATTGAGCATAAATCAAAAATGTCTGTGTCAAGCTCACTGCAACACACTGCTGTAAGAGTATAACCAGGAAGCGAGGTAGGAGGGTAAAGTAGGTTTAGCGCCACCGCAGCACAAGAGGGAGAATTACGTCCAGGAGCAAATGGATAAAAATAGACCGGAGGAAAAAAAACAACATGAATCGATACTCTTGCGGACATGTCGAAGCATCGGATCGTCGACTGTTCGATTGATGCATCGATACAAAACGATTATTATTTACACCCCTAATCCTAACCACTGTGCTTGAATTTAAACATTTTCAATTTGATTATGACGATACAGGCCAAGACAGTGAAGAAATGCAGCAGACCCAAAATGATACACTTTCTGGACCAAATGTTCACCAAACGAAGAAATCTCTTGACTTGGATAACAGAGATCCAAAGACTAACAATATGGAGATAGAAAATACCAGATGGCGAGAAAATAGATATGAAAACTCCACTAAAGAGAAAGAAAGAGATACTCCTGATTTTAGACCTAAACCCAAAGAAAACTTGGCTGTGCATGTTTATGGCACAACTGACAAAAGCAGAGATGAGGATGAAAAGATAGATGGAGACGATAAACATATTACAGAAAATGCTGAGGGCAAAGCTATTCAGAAAACAAACAGTGATGAGCAGGAAGAGACACAGTTGTCTGGAGATTTAAATACTCAAAAATCTGTTAGAGACCAAAGTGAGATAAACGATGCAAACCCAAATGAGAAACAACAGACATGGGAGATAGATGATAATACTAACACACTGATGACTGGTAAAAAAGCTGATAATGTTTCACTAAGTGATCAGGGGAAGGAGAGTAAACAAACTGATGGTAAACATGAAGCCCTTAAAACTGATGAGTATCACAATACATCAGATGAGGATAGTAATGAAACAACTTTTAAAGAAAACGGGGAAGCTCCTGTCACTGGTTGCCATCACAATAGTGTAGGAGATGTTGAAAGTAAGGAAAACAAATCTGAACATGCTCATATAGATCACAGTGCAAGCTACAAAGATCAAGCACAGAAAAATGAAAATGTCTACACTGACACAACTGGTTGGCAGAAAAGGTTAGATACTGAACATGAAGAAACAAGTAAACTACTAATGGCACAATCTCACCAAGACAAACGTACACCACATCAGAAGAAGAGAAACACTGAAGAAGACAATGGTCCAGAAGAAGAACATTGTTTGAAAACCCACACTAAATGTAGAGACGATGAAGATGTTGAGGATTGTCATAGACAATCTGGAACATGGACAAAAAAGAGACAGAGAGGGGAAAAAGCAGCTGGAAAGGAGAAAGAAAGAAGTATTAAAAATCCAGTCCAGGTTTCTGCAGGTGGAAGACATAGCTCAAGGAAGTCTGCCAATGTACCAGAAGTAAGCAGTGGGAGCATATCAGGTGAGAATAAAAGGTCACGTGGCAAAGAAAGTAAAGTGTTACAATACATGACTGAAGAACGAGTACACATCATTTCGGAGGACAATCAAAAAACAACAACATCTATGGCAGCCAGCAAGGCTAAAAAGCATGCAATGACTCAGCCAAAAGAAAAGGAAACTACCTTAAATGTAGAGCTTCAAGTAGCTGAGGGAAACCTAAATTTGAAAAGAAGTAATCCCCATTTGCTCTGTTTCCCTGTTAGCAAGAAGCATATCAAAAAGGATAGAGGGAAGAAGAGCAAGAATAAAATATCAAAATTCATGTGTTTCTCAACCACTGAAAATGGAGATAGTGATTAAGGGGTGGAATAATAGAAGTAGTAATATAGTTGTATAGTGCTTGTCTCATTGTCTCTCCGTCAGTAATAGATCTTGTTTAGACATGTTGTTTTATATTAAATTTGATTGATTTCCAATAACATTAAAAAATAGTTTAATCTATTGATTTAAAATGTATTTGTTGCAACTGAAATTTTGCTATATCATTTGAAAAAGAACAATATTTGTTTTCCATGTATTTCACATTTATTATGTATACCTAAAATAAACATTCAGCTAGGTAGGACATAAATTGATATCCTCTTCTGGATTTAAAAACATACAATGACACCATAAGAAGCCCTAAAACAATGGGGTCAGATGGCATTAGTAATCTACTCTATGTGACAAATGGAATTAAAACTGAGATTCTAAAACAGTTTGTATTTAAATCAAACAGGGTTCAGCTTCAGATTTCTTAGCTAAATATTGAATAAATCCCCTTATTCATTTATCAGCAGGTGTGTAGGGCAGTGGAGAAATGTAAAAGTTGTAGGATATCTGTCTTCAAGGATTTGAGTTTGAGACATATGTCTTAAAGAATGATTTTAATTTTGAATTTGTTTTGCTGATTATATTCTAATAAGTTAATTGTACACTACTTGATTAAATGCCACGGGTTTCAAAAAGGAAATGTTTGTATTAATGTTGTATTTTCATTTTTATTTCTAGTTTTCTTGTATTCGGCAATAAACTTGGATTGTCACCTTGATGAGATGTGTTTATTTGTAGTTGTTTGTCCAAGTCATAGTTAATTCAGTATGCCCAAGAACAAGACCGATTTATTTATATGTCATGGTTTTCTTTATTTCTTTATGCATTGCCTAATGATTATTTGAAAAACATTAATGGCACAGTTTTTACCTCTGTGGCAGTGTTGTGCTAGTTACTGAAAAGCAGTAACTAGTTTCTGTTACTAGTTACTTCATTTCAAAAGTAACTTAGTTACTAACTCAGTTACTTACACCATAAGGTAATGCGTTACTGTGAAAAGTAACTATTTAGTTACTTTTTTTTTTAAAGGTTCGCATTATGCCCTTATAGCCTTCATTTCAGAAATGTTATTGCACTGGAGAATAATACCATCTGTTGAAGAACTTGACATGCATTTGCATCATGAAACTCTGCTAAGCAATTCTATATACAAGCAACAAAGATATGTTTCAAAGTGCCAATTTATTTCAGGGCAGAACAAACTGACAATGCTACATAGTAGGTAGTTGCCTGCAAAATTGCCCTTGACAGCAGGTGGCCTGCTATAATTTGTTCCCCCCTTGTAACTTTGAGAAACAAAGGTCAATCAACTCCAAAGTTTCAGGGATTAGTTGTCATCATAAAAGATGCTTATAAGCCAAAAAATGAAAAGGCTGGGACCTTTTTTGCCTGATTTAGACAGGGGGAACAGATTACAGCAGGTTTTATTTCATCAAATCGAAGGGTTGATGGTTCAAGCCCCGACTCCGACTTTCAGTGTCGTTGTGTCCTTGGGCAAGACACTTCACCTGCATTGTCTACTGATGGTGGTCAGAGGGCCCGGTGGCGCCAGTGTACGGCAGCCCCGCTTCTGTCAGTGAGCTCCAGGGCAGCTGTGGCTACAATGTAGCTTGCCATCATCAGTGTGTGAGTGTGTGTGTGAATGTTTGAATGAATGTAGTGTAAAGCTCTTTGGTCAAGTCTCCTAACTTGAATAAAGGCGCTATATAAGTAAGTACATGCCATGCCAAGTTAATATAAAACACAAATATAGATTTAAGTACTAAATTTCAACCAGGAAAAAATTATTTCCTTCTGCATATACAGGTGCTGGTCATAAAATTAGAATATCATGAAAAAGTAGATTGATTTCAGTAATTCCATTTAAAAAGTGAAACTTGTATATTATATTCATACATTATATACAAACTCATATATTTCAGATGTTTATTTTGTTTAATTTTGATGATTACAAATGACAACAAATGAAAATCTCAAATTCATCATATCAGAAAATTAGAATATTGTGAAAAGGTTCAAAATTGATGGCCCCTGGTGCCACACTCTAATCAGCTAATTAACTCAAACCACCTGCAAAAGCCTTTAAATGGTCTTTCAGTCTAGTTCTATAGGCTACACAATCATGGGGAAGACTGCTGACTTGACAGTTGTCCAAAAGACGACCATCGACACCTTGCACAAGGAGGGCAAGACACAAAAGGTCATCGCTAAAGAGGCTGGCTGTTCACAGAGCTCAGTGTCCAAGCACATTAATAGAGAGGCGAAGGGAAGGAAAAGATGTGGTCGAAAAAAGTGTACAAGCAAGAGAGATAACCGCACCCTGGAGAGGATTGTGAAACAAAACCCCTTCAAAAATGTGGGGGAGATTCACAAAGAGTGGACTGCAGCTGGAGTGAGTGCTTCAAGAACCACCACACACAGACGTATGACAGACATGGGTTTCTGCTGTCGCATTCCTTGTGTCAAGCCACTCTTGAACCACAGACAGCGTCAGAAGCGTCTAAAGAGAAACAGGACTGGACTGCTGGTGAGTGGTCCAAAGTCATGTTCTCTGATGAAAGTAAATTTTGCATTTCCTTTGGAAATCAAGGTCCCAGAGTCTGGAGGAAAAGAAGAGAGGCACTTCATCCACGTTGCTTGAAGTCCAGTGTAAAGTTTCCACAGTCAGTGATGGTTTGGGGTGCCATGTCATCTGCTGGTGTTGGTCCATTGTGTTTTCTGAGGTCCAGGGTCAACGCAGCCACATACCAGGAAGTTTTAGAGCACTTCATGCTTCCTGCAGCTGACCAACTTTTTGGAGATGCAGATTTCATTTTCCAACAGGACTTGGCACCTGCACACAGTGCCAAAGCTACCAGTACCTGGTTGAAGGACCATGGTATCCCTGTTCTTAATTGGCCAGCAAACTCTCCTGACCTTAACCCCATAGAAAATCTATGGGGTATTGTGAAGAAGAAGATGCAATACACCAGACCCAACAATTCAGAAGAGCTAAAAGCCACTATTAGAGCAACCTGGGCTATCATAACACCTGAGCAGTGCCACAGACTGATCGACTCCATGCCACGCCGCATTGCTGCAGTAATACAGGCCAAAGGAGGCCCAACTAAATACTGAGTGCTGTACATGCTCATACTTTTCATGTTCATACTTTTCAGTTGGCCAACATTTCTATAAATCCTTTGTTTTTATTGGTCTTCAGTAATATTCTAATTTTCTGATATGATGAATTTGAGATTTTCATTTGTTGTCATTTGTAATCATCAAAATTAAACAAAATAAACATCTGAAATATATGAGTTTGTATGTAATGTATGAATATAATATACAAGTTTCACTTTTTAAATGGAATTACTGAAATCAATCAACTTTTTCATGATATTCTAATTTTATGACCAGCACCTGTAGTCTTTAATGATTACACGTGCACCCCATTTTCTATTTCATTTTTATTACAAGTATATGGTTTAAAACAGTTTTAAATGGGAGGAGAACATTTGGACACTGAAACAATGAGAGATTTTTTTAATGAACCTGTGGAAAAGAACAAGGAGCTGTTTGCTTTCAGAGGAAGGAGTAGACACTGCTGTCAGCGACCAGCTTTCAAGCAAACGTTTGTGTTTTACTATTAGTTTTAGATCAATATCACTGGCGATATTCTGCTATAACATGTGAAGTAAAGAAAAAAACAGTAAAGCTCAACTTTCATACACGTAAAACATTTCAAATTTCAAGTTCTGCACGTTGGAATTGAGGCAGAGTTAAGTCGGGTTGTTCGTCCTACTCCGTGCACGCTCCCGACGAGGGGATACAAATTTTCCCAGGGATAACTAATTGGCACGACACCGGTAGCTTCTAGCTTTGTCGCAGCATGTTGCTTTTGTAGGTGTTTCAACAGTTGCTGTTCTGGGCTGTAGATCGAATCTTTGATCCAAGGCACTAATTGTAAGTTAATGAGAATATCTCCAACTGAAGAAACTCGACTTGGGCTCTGCAGCAGCCGCCATGATGACTAGTGTTGGTAAAAACAAACACGCCCTCAGCATGTTTCCTTCCTGTCTCCCTCTCTCTAACACAGGAAGACAATACTTCACTGCAGCATTTAAGTCTCTAGCTGATCCCGAGACTATAAATTAACGCAGTAATACATCATGTAGTAATGTTAACGGAGTTACTTAATTTAAAAACTAACGCGTTAGCGTACTAGTTAGTGAAAAAAATACCTCCGTTAAAGTAACGCGTTACTTTGTAACGTGTTAGTCCCAACACTGCTCTGTGGCCTTGCAGCAAAAATAAAAACTGGCTTCCAATCTGGGCCTAGGGTTTTGTGTCTTTCACAGTTTAGCCCTGTTTAAATATTTCTTACCTCAGTCATGGTTTTCTGTCATTTGTATATTCAGTTCCCCCTCTGTTTCCCTTTTTACCTGCACCTGTTCTCCTTTAAGATTCAATTCCTTTCTTTGTCTTGCTGGATCCTCTGGCGTTTTGCCCAGTGCTACTGTCTTCCTTTTAACTCGCTCTTGAGAGCCTGCTCGACATTGTCCACTATAATATTCTTCTCTTAATAAAGCTTAATTATCCTGATGTTGTGCTGCTCATGTGATTTTTGTAAAGCACTTGGAATTGTTGTTGTATTGAACTGTGCCAAATAAATAAACTTACCTTGCTCTGGTTTTCTGGCCTGTTGAAATTAATTTAAAAATAAATTAGGCTGATTGAATTTGCTTTTAAATTATTGACAATTCATTAAGAAGTAAATCTATCTTAAGCTGATCTGAAATAAATATGCAAATTTATTTAACATAAGTATTTGTTAATAATTATATACGGTGTTCAAATGACTCAGTTGGAAATAATAATATTTAATGATGATAGTGATAACATTTATAATAATGATGAAAGTGACAGAGGATATAGATAACAGGATTTATTTTTAAATTAAGATGAATGGTGGATCTATTCTCAATAAATCCATAGCTCTGTCATGATTTTATCTAAGGCTCGGACCCACATGCAGTGAAACCAAACAGAGAGACACGAATGAAAAGTTTGATGGGTTTTATTGAGGATGTAAGCTTGGTGCAGAGTTTCTCTGAACTCTGTTTGACCGGAACTGGAAGATGAGGGGAAGACAGACTGTTAGTTCAGGCGCCGTGGGAAATTTGATTCGTTAATTTGAAGAAAAGTATCTGGTTGTTGACTCACGTTTCCAGAGAAGTGAAGGATCCTTGACTCCAATCCGTGTGTTGGTCTCCAGTGTTTTTCTGACTCGGTGGAGGGCAGAACAGGGTTTACCCAGAGCTCGGATGGTGTAGGGGAACGGAGACGCTGATTTCCACTCAGATTTCCAGCCGTACTTGTACGGGTCGTGGTGAAGGTGATTCCCTTGCTCAGAGGTAAATTTCAACGTCCTCAAAGGAGACTGGATCCAAACCTCCTTTTTGAATCCCTCACTCAGTTTTAGACTCAGTGATCCCTCCTGGGAGAGGAGGTCCGAAAGGGTCCAGTTTGCAGGATGACTTCCTGCAGAGAGGCAAAGACAAAAACAAAGTTAAAACTCAGGGAGACAAGAACCTAGTCCTACTCAGAGAAAACCCAGCTTGGCTAGAGTACCCAAAACTGGCAAACAATCTGGCGTCGAGGTAGTGGCAAACAGCAGCTTAAGAGCACTCCGTTAATGAGGTAAAC